GGACCCAAGGGCAGGACCCAGCACTTGGCCTTGTTGAACCTCATAAAAATGGCTTCAGATATCGGCACAGCGTGTCCAGGTCCCTCTGCAGAGCCTCCCTACCCTCCAGCAGATCAACACTCCCTCTCAGTTTGGTGTCATCTATGAATTTACTGAGGGAGCACTCAGTCCCCTCGCCCAGATCATCGATAAAGATGTTAAACAAGACTGGGTTGGGAAGCTGGTGACTGGACCATACTCCCCCCCCCAAAAAAACCCCTCATCCTGCCATCTACGCAAAGATGCTACCCTCATCCCAGCGCTCTTTCCCCAGGGCTGCCTGGGGCAAGGCGAGGAGTTCTCACCCGTGTGCGTCTTCATGTGCTCGTCGAAGTACTGCTTCATGTTGAAGTCCTTGCCACACCACTGGCACATGAACTGCTTGTGGCCGATGTGGATGCTCATGTGGGAACGCAGCTGGTACTTGTACTGGAAGCGCTCATTGCAGTTCTGCAAGGACGAGAAGGGCACGAGCTGCTGAGGGTGCAGGTCCTGCACAAGGGTCGGGGCAATCCCAAGCACAGATACAGGCTGGGGGATGAGTGGATGGAGAGCAGCCCTGCGGCGAAGGACTCGGGGATGTCAGTGGGTGAAAAGCTGGACACGATCCAGCACCATGCGCTCACAGCCCGGAAAGCCAGTCACATCCTGGGCTGCATCACGAGATGATTTTTAAGGTCCCTTGCAACTCAAACCGTTCGATCATTCTACAGGCACCCAAACCGCTCCCCACGCTCCCCCTAAATCACCAGCATGTCAGAGCAGTGCAGAAATCAGGAGGATGGAAAACTCAGGAGGACAGAGTCAGGCTCTTTTCAGTGACATCCATTGACAGGACAAGGGGCAATGGGTACCAGCTGGAACATAGGAGGTTCCACAAAATATTAGAAAAACCTTTTTCTCTGTGAGGGTGGCAGAGCCCTGGCACAGGCTGCCCAGAAAGGTTGTGGAGTTTCCTTCTTTGGAGACTTTCAAAACCCGCCTGGACACGTTCCTGTGTGACCTACTGTAGGTGATCCTGCTCTGGCAGGGGGGCTGGACTAGATGATCTTTTGAGGTCCCTTCCAACCCCTGACATTCTATGATTCTGTGAAACCACCTTTTTTTTTTCCCCAAAAAGAACCTAAATAAAGGGCTTTTTGGGACACTCCCAGCCAGGTTTGCAGGCTGGATAGTACCGGAGTGGAATCCACCGTCCAGGCGCTGGAGGGACAGAAACTTTGGACAAGTTTCATCGTAAGGTTGGTGAGACCCTCAAAGCAGAAGGGGATGCAAAGTTTGGAAGAGTGTGGGAGCATCCCTACAGCTGCATTGGCACAAAGCATGGGGGAAGCCCCAAGAAGGGGAAGATCTTTTCCCAAATTCAGTGGGTTTTGCCCTCATTTTGAGAGGATGTGAGGCAGAGCGTCACACAGGACCTTACCTCACATTTAAAAGGCTTTTCCCCAGAGTGCTGGAGGGAATGGACCTTGAGGGACATGCTGCGCTTGAAGGACTTCCCACAGGTCTCGCAGGTGAACGGCATGTCCTTGGTGTGAGCTGGAGTGGAGAGGAGCAGGGTCAGGCAGCAACATTTCAGGTACATCCACACCTGCCTGCTAAACCCCCTTTTTTTGGAGGACCTGCAAGTCCCAGGGACCCAACCGCCGTCGCCATGTGCAATTTGCTTTTCAAAGCCTGACGCTGGTGTGGTCTGGTCCTTTTTTAAAAGGGAAGGATGGTTACGCTTCAAACCCTCCTTTGATCACTTCTGCAATACTTTTTTTTTTTTTCTGGTTAAATAAACCAAATGAGATCCCCCAGCACCGTGCCTGATTGCTCCAAATCCAGCCATTAGCAGATATACGTCCAGCATGAAATACTAGGCTCAGTTTCAAGGCCCCCGTGTTGACATGAGAAAGCTCACCCAAGAGTAAGCCCCAACCTAAACTTCCAATGGAAAAAAAACCCCGAACAACCACCCTTCATTGCCCAAATGACGGATGCACACCCCTAATGACATCTCCCCGCAGCACTGGCGCCTCTCGCACTCACCAACCATGTGTTTGCGCACGTGGGCCATGGTGTAGAACTTCTTCTCGCAGATCTCGCAGGAGAATTTCTTCTCGGCGTAGCCGTGGACGATCTTGTTGTGCTCGTGGAGGGACCAGAGCTTCTTGAACCCTTTCCCACACGTCACGCACTGGAAGGAGAGAGGGGATGGGTAAGGAAGCAGGAGAACGTGTCCAGGCACCACCAGCACTTTTGTTTTACCAGGTATCTGCTTCACCCATTAAAAGGGAACATCACTATGAAACCTACAGCTACGATATCGAAAATTGTAACGACCTGCAAGTCTGTACGGACTTTGTCACTTCAAAACCTCCCAAACTGAAATTTCTGTCCATCAGATGAGGAAGGGAAATGAGTTTCCAGGGAAGGATGCGGCATCTCCATCAACAAATGTCCTAGGACTTTATATAAGCAGCACCAAAGCCCTATTCCCAACTGGGAGTTCTGTTATTGCACACAATGAAACTGTTACATTAAAAAAAACCAAAACACACCACCAACAAAACAAAATCTAACCAACCCTCTGTTCATAAAGAATACAGGGATAAGGAGAAGCCCAAGTCAGGGCTGTGCAACTACAGTCTTCAGCAGCTATTACGGACACTTTACCACTAAATGAGTTTTGCAGACTTATCTAAATGGATCAAAATGGACCCAAAAAATAGTCCATCAGCACGATGTGCAAAGTCTTGCCCAAGAAGCTACGGTAGAGATTCGCTTCAGCCTCAACCAGTTCAAAACTCTTCTGAAAGTTCTCAGGAAAAGCTTCAACTTCGGATGAGTTTGGTGCTCAGGGAAACACAGAGAGTGAGATCCAGGCGGGAAAGCAGGGCTGGAGCACGGGGACGGTGGGCAGCACCCAGCCAAGGACCATCCCAGCAGCCAAGAGTCTTTTTTTAAC